CTGTGCTCATCCAGCTCTACACTTTCTGTGACAGCAAATGAGTTGCCTCATGCAGACACCAGTGTAATCTTAATGTGACATTAAGCCTGACTGGTGAATTGGGCTAGATTTTTCTACCTGTTGTCAATGATCTGAGAACTTAATTCCCCAATATTTCTTCATTGAGTAACTGAGTCATACCCTACAAAGATGCTTGGTTCAATCCAATGTCTCTCTTTCCAGTTAGCTGATTTTGACAGGGCAGAAATAGAGACATGACATGTAGCGTAAATGCTCATGATATTGAGAGGAAGCTCAAGTTAGCGGAGCTACTGTACAGAGAGAGTGCCTAAATGCCCTTTGTTTGGCAGCACTTGATGAATGGACAGTGCAGGGGTTAATGACTTAAGTACTTTTACTGTGCATAAGAGGCCCACACCTCCTTCAGAGATGTGTTTGCACAGTTTGATTAAAATAACTGGATGAGGGGAGGCGTGCAAGCTAAATTTGCAGATGACATAAAGCTTGATACAAAAGTATGTCATTGTGAAGACATAAGGTGTTTGCAGATGGATAGATAGGTTGAGTGAGTGGGCAAAAACTTGACAGATGGAGTATAATCTGAGAAAACGTGAAACTGTTCACTTTGGCAAGAAGATTAAAAAAAGTTACATAAAACTTGCAGAATTTTGAGGTGCAGAGGTGTCTAGATGTTTGAGTGCGTAAGTGACACAAAAATTCAGTATGCAGGCACAGCAAATAATTGTGAAGGCTAATGGAATGCTATCCTTTAATATGAGAGAAATTGAACGTACAGACAAGGATGCTGCCCTTCAGTTATACAGTTCATTGGTGAGACCACATTTTAAATACATTTTAAATGTGTAGTTGTGGTCTCATTATTTACGGAAGGATGTAAATCTGTTGGAGGCGACTTGGAGGAGATTTGTTAAATTGATATCTGGAATGAGAGGATTGTGTTTTGAAGAAGGTTGGATAGACTGTGCTTGTTTTCAATGGAATCTGGAATAGCAAATGGTGACCGAACTGAATTATATAAAGTTCTGAACTACCTTGACAAGATGGAGGTGAAATGATGTTTCCTCATTTGGGTTAGTCCACATCAAGGGAGGTGTTCAAAATTAAGGATGGCTCTTTCAGGACCGAGGTGAAGAGAATCTTTTTCACTGAGTGTTGTGTGACTTTGAAACACACTGCCTCAAAAGTGTCTGAGGTGGGGTGATTGAGTATTTTTAAGGTAAAGGTAGATAGATATTTGTTAGACAAGGGAATCAAAGGTTGTTGGGAATAAATTACAATGAGGATTCAAAACACGGACAGATAAGCAGCAATCTTACTGAAAGGCAGATCAGGTTTTACAGCTGGAATGACTGACTTCTGCTCCTAATTTGTATGTTCATGTGATCACTGGCTCATACTATGAATGATTGGGTGAGGACAGGATAGATTTCAGCTGTACTGCGAATTATTAAAGAATAGTGCTTTGGCATTCACTGTTGAAGTCTCACACATCAGTAATAGCCACTTGATGGGCAGGCGGTTTATTGAAGAGCTCCCAACTGTTCAGTAACTGTTTTTAAAGGAAGGATTAGCAAGGAGCTGTCGAAAAATGAAGGGTAAATATTTTAGGCGTAAAGTTGGGAAATACCTGGACACTCAAAGAATTGTGGAAAGTTCAAACTCAACTGGTGTGTGATTGATTGTTAATTTTAAAACTGAGATTGACAGGTTTTTTGCTATCCAAAAATATTAAGGGGTATGGGCCAGAGGGAAGTATATGGAGTTAGGTTGCAGATGAGCAATGAACTCATTGACAACTAGGATATGTTTGGGGATAAATAGCTCCTCTCATTCCTCTCCTGTCCGATTCCTTTCTTGTCTATTGACACTTTGAGATGATGCTATATATTCTCAGTGATGTATTTATTTATTTTTAGCACATTTACCCAATCCAGGATTGAATCTGATTTACAATGAAACCATTGACAGTTCTCGGCAGAACTTTCGTCTGGTGAGGGCCAAGGTCTTCCTTTATATTTTCTTGGAAAATGTCATCATTCAACATGCTTACTAATGCAGTCAATGGGTATGGAACTGCACCGAATGAGGAATAAGTATCTGCAGGTGATAAGATGAGGTCAAAAGTCATCTTGTGTGCTTTAGGACGTTTGACGAGTGATGGCTACCAATGTCTTCATGTTGTTTTGCTTTTGTGGAACTTCCCAAATAATTGAGCATGTGTTTTTATCTGTAGGCGGAAAAACCTCTGATGCTTCGAAATATCCACCTGAACAAATGGTGAGTAGGCTTTTAGGTTAACTTTTGAAACCTTTTATTTTTCATCCACCTGCTAGTTCTAAATTCTGAAAACTTGTCCTGTGCCATAAACCATTTTCTGTTGTAGCTAGAGGTCTCTCTGGCTGACAAACAACCCAGGTCACAAGTTCAAATCCCACTGTGACAACTTGTGAAATCAAATTGAATAATTTTTATCTTGTAATTTACGGGGCTGGTGTGATACAGTGACAATGCAAGCTGCTCTATGTTGGCTGGATTTACTTAGTGTCAAATCAGTTACGGTTTTTAATCTTCAGCGTTATCCTTAGCTTTTTCAAACACCATTTATGCCATCCTGTGTGCAGTATTTCACATTTTTGTTCACTGTATCTCACCATCAGTTACCCGCTGATCCCATTCCAGGGTTTAACCTGAAACTTGCGAGTATTTTGTTCAAAAGGTAAATAAAAAGGCTAATGTGGAGTTGCCCTTTGCTGCAAGGCAGTGGTGGAAGTTATATTATAGTCATACGTAACTCTGGTTAGCCTTTATTTAGCCTGGATTCATTCTGGGCATTGCAGGTCAGCAAAGGTATTTTGGAGGATGTGAAGCATTGTTTCACTAGAATGACACCAAGGCTAAAAGATTGAGTTATTGTGACAGGTTGCATAGGCCTGCATTTACTTAAATTTTGAAGATTAAGGATTGATTAAATTGGGATATTGCGGGGATGATGTAGAGTAGATAGAAAGAAGCTGTTTCAGCCCAATTTTTTCAGGTGGAATAGTCTTGAACTAGCAGGAAATAGTCCACAAATGAAGGCTAAACTTTTTAGGAGTGAAATTAGGAAGCATTTGTATGCAAAAAAGATCATAAAAAACAAGGATTATAAGAAGTTCAAACTCTCCTGAATAATTGTTGCTTTTAAGACGGAGATTGACAGATTTTTTGCTCTCAAAATATGTTAAGAGATATCAGGCAAAGGCAGTATGTGGCGCGAAGTTTGCATAGGAGCAATGAACTCATAGACTGAATATGTTTGAGGGAATGAATGACCTACTCCTATTCCTTTCTTCTGATCAGAGGTTTTCTTCCTCATCTATTGGCACATTGAGAAAATGCCATATATTCCTGAGAGTTTAATTGTCTTGTGCATATTTAACCAGTCCAGGATCTGAATCTGATTTATAATGAAACCAATAACTTTACTTGGCAGAACTTTTGCCTGGTGAGAATTTAAGCCTTCCCTTATGACAACTTGGAGGAAGTAATCACTAAGAATGCTTACTGTATTGAGCTCATCCCCAATTTCAAGCCAGTTGGTGTTTTTTAATGGCTTGTTCTTCACCCCTGACTGGCACATTGCTGTTGTGGTACAGGACGGGAGATCTGTTAAATAGAGAAGCACATTCGTCTTTGATTTTCTGTGATGTACTTCCCACCCTCCGTGTTCTGCTTGGTAGCTGCAACAGCAGACAAATGGTAGTTTGCTGATGGAACAAAAGTTTGATGAGCAAAAACATTGCACTGTGGAGCACTGAGTCACAGAATCATAGCGTTGTTACGGTGCAGAAGCGAGCCATTTTGAATGCATTGTGTGTCTAACTATTTTAACATATTGTTAATTTCCTGCTATTTTCCTGTAACCCCGCAGATTGTTTTTACTTAAATAATCATCCAATTCCCTCTTGAAAGCCTGAATTGAACTTATCTCCATCACCTGGCTACTTGCTGAGTGGGAAAAAGAAATTCTCACTCAAAACTGCATCGTTTGCAAAACACTTTGAAACTGTACCTTCTTGTTCTCAATCTATTTACAAGTGGGAACAGTTTCTCTCTGTTCAGAACCCTCTTGATTTTGAAAACTGCTTTTAGCCTTCCCTCTCCCAACATCTCATTTACATAGGCCAACAGATACTGAGTTTGATTCTTGCCCTATGCTCAGTTTGTTTATCTTACCCGAGGTAGTGAGTGAAATGCTGAAAATCCCTTTGACACCTGTTAGCCAGGAAGGTAAGAAACCAACCAAAATACAATGAAAGCAAAGTACTCCAGATGCTGGCAAGCTAAAACAAAGAAAAGAAAGTGGTGGAAACATGCTTTGCAGCTGACAAGAGGTAAAAATCAAGCATTATTTCTACTTGCCTGCCAGAAAGCTGCCACCAAGATGGAATCAGGTGTCTTTAACAGTTTCACCACCTGACATTGCCTAAGTTCACAAACAAATGTAAAATGGCCACTTGACTTGAGATATTTCAGTGTTGCTGAGACTTCTGCTGTAGTACTTTGGTAAGATTCTACTTCACCCAAGAGTGGAGGTAGGGGTTGAGGTGGGAAGAGAAAACTGCAGACAGAGGCTCCTGTGGTTACTAAGTGTGATGGTTCTATTGCAACAGCAAGTCTTCAATAGAGTTGTTGGGAAACAGATTTTTCCAAACAGAGTTGAGCTGCCACTATTATCTGTTCGTCTGCAGTTATCCCGTTTGCAACAATCATCTTCTCAGTATTTAACTACAAGCCTTCCTACGAACAGAACGTTGCTGAGGCAGTTTAGTGGTCACCGTACACCCTCAAAAATGACTTCAATCCACCAGGTAGGATCTTCAGTGATTAACAAGAAGAACGTTTCCTATTTCCACTTAGACAATAATGTTTTAGTTAGTCACTCAGAGGAATTTGAAAAATTTGCTTTATCCATTAGTTTTGATTTAGCCATTTCTGGCGTATTTTCCTTTAAAGCTACATTTAAAGCTGCACGAGACCCAAATAATCCCTCTGAAATGGTAATCTACATGAAGGAGATAAGCAATTGTGTTATTTTATTATTTTGAAATTAAATATTCAACTTCTCTCATTAAGACAGTTCTTTTGCCTGTTAAGTACATCAGGAACATTGAACATACGTGCAAATCCCTGCCTTATTCAGCTTTCTTATATATCATCGCCTGTTGTTATTCACCAGTCCTATTTGGGCTGCGTATTTTACTGAAAGAATTTGCAGGTAATGTTCTGCTCAAAAACCATTCATCAAGATGCAGTCAGAGTGATAGCTGTCCTGCCATTTCAAAAAACAAAATCCACAAAAATATCAGCATGTCTCCATTTTCTTTCATCCACAAAATACTCTAATGAGTTCCTCGTCATCATGTGTAACCAAGTGTACTGATCTCCTACTCTCCAGCATATCCCTGACTTTATAACGATCCTCCCTGGATAGTCATAGATCATCCCACCCAGCTGAGGCCCAATGTTTTGAGTTGAATCCTACCTGCACTGCAGCTTGTATGAGTCACCGTATTGCTGTTGAGTTCTGGACCTTTTGCCAGACCTACTTCAGCGTCCCTGCAGCTTCAGACTCTGTCTTCACTTCCATTCATTGCTGGTCCTGGTTGTATGTGAGGCTTGGGTTTTGTCACTCACATCTTTCTTGCCTTCTCCATACTCCTGAAACATGCACCAGAATTCAATGCATACTCCCTTCTATCTCAGTTTCAAAAGGAGACACAATAGATTTTCTGATTCCTTACAGAAAGCGTTGTTAGTCGAAGGAACTAATTCATGCACTTAAAGTGCAAACGCATTATTTAAAACTTGCACCAGTTTAATGGAATTTTGCTGAAATAATCAGTTTAAGGCAGTGAAAACCATCTCCAAAACAACTGAACTTAATCAGAGACATACGAGTCAAATATTACATGCCAAAGTTTTAAAAAAAAAAAACAAGGTATAGGGAAATGAAATACTAAAAAAATTTAAAATTCTAGTCAGTGTTTCAAATTATATTTACCTTTTTAAACTTTAAACAAAGCCTTGCATTTTAACTATGGATATTGTAATCATAATATGAGCCATTTATAACTGTCTGAAAAGTCACAAGGGTGCAAAGTGTACGTTTGAACCAGAAAATGATAATGTATAATTTGAGTTTTATAACAGATTGAACCCAATATGTTTTGAAGCCAATCTTTTTAATGCTCGAATAGGCATGACAACTGAATCTTTGTATGTAGGATCTGATATCTAGTGTGGCACAATAGACATGAATGATTCCTACATACTTGCCTCAATTTAAATTGTAAGGTAATTTGGAAGCTGGCAACTACAGCAGTGCTCCAGGGCAATATGACAGTCTGAAGACAGAAAGAAGACATCTAATGAGGCATGTCTTAACTGGAGGAAATGACAGGGTAAAGCTTATTAAGTAGTCAAAGGAAGTGTTGATTAACAATGATTGCAGAGGAGGGTGTGACATACATAGGCCAGCAGATACTAGATTTGAGTTTTACTCTATGCTGAATATGTTTCACTTACCTGAGGTAGTGACTGGGATACTGAAGATCCCTTTGGCACCCATTAGCCAGGAAGGGAAGAAACCAATCAAAATACAATAAAAGCAAAGTATTGCAGATGCTGGGAAACATCTCGGCCCCTGATATTGCCTAAGTTCGCAAATATAAAATGGCCACTTGACTTGGGATTCAGTGTTACTGAGACTTCAGATTCTACGTCAACAAAACATGGAGGTAGCAGATGAGGTGGGAAGAGAAAAATTGCAGACAGAGGCTCCTGTGGTTACTAAGTAATGGTTCTATTACAACAGCAAGTCTTCAATACAGAGTTGTTGGGAAATAGATTTTCCCAAACAGAGTTGAGCTGCCACTATTATCTATTTGTCTGCAGTTATCCCGTTCCAATCAGTCTTTATCTCGGTACTCAACTACAAGTCTTCCTATGAACAGAACATTGCTGAGGCAGTTTAGTGGTCACCGTACATCTTCAAAAATTACTTCAATCTACCAGGTAGGACCTTCAGTGATTAACAAGAAGAACTTTTCCTATTTCCACTTAGACAATAATGTTTTAGTTAGCCACTCAGAGGAATTTGGAAAATTCGCTTTGTTCGTTATTTTTGACTTATCCATTTCAGGCATATTTTCCTTTAAAACTACATTTAAAGCTTCAGGAGATCCAAATTATATGTCTGAAATGGAAATATTTACATGAAGGAGATATCCAATTGTGATAATTTATTATTTGGAAATTACATTCAAAATCTCTCAATAAAACACTTCCTTTGCCTGTTAAGTACATGAGGAACATTGAACATATGTGCAAATCCCTGTTTTATTCAGCCTTCTCATGCCTCATCACCTATTGTTATTTGCCAATCCTATTTCTGTTGCATATTACTCTGAAAGAATTTGCAGGTAACATTCTGCTCAAAAACCATTCATCAAGATACAGACAGAATGATAGTCAATAAATGTGGAGCTGGAAAAGCAGGTCAGATAGCATCTGAGGAGCAGAAAAGTCAAAGTTTTGGGCCGAAACCCTTTGCCAAGACTGAGGAGGGGGTGGGGAACCCAGAAATAAATAGAGAGGGGGGAGGGTAGGTGAGATAGGTGGAAGCTGCTAGAGGGTTATTGTGGTTGGTCAGTGGGAAGGTGAGTAGGCAGATAGACAGATTGGGGATGGAGAGATTTTGAAGCTGGTGATGCAGGTAGGTGGTTATTATGGTTGGCCAGTGGGAAAGGTGGAGCGGATTGGTGAATCAGAAGATGGAAAAGACGGGGGAGGAGAGATTTTGAGGCTGGTGAAGTCAATATTCAGGCCATTGGGCTGTAAGCTCCCAAGGTGAAATATGAGGTGTTGTTCCTCCAGTTTACATTTTGTCTCACTCTGACAGTGGAGGAGGCCAAGGATGGACATGTCATCAGGAGAGTGGGAGAAGGAGGTGCAGGATGGTGTTGGTGTAGATGTTGATGAGGGCCTCTGGTAGAGAAAGAAGCCGAGGCCTTATATTGATGACTGCATCATTGTGGCCTTGTGCTCCCGCGTGGAGCTCGGACAGTTCATCAACTTTGCCAACACCTTCCACCGTGCCTTGAAATTCACCTGGACCATTTCTGACATCTCCCTCCCCTTCCTGGACCTCTCAGTCTCCATCTCTGGTAACTACTTCACCACTGACATCCATTTCAAACCCACTGACTCCCGCAATTACCTCAATACATCTCCTCTCATCCACCATCCTGCAAAAATTTATTCCATACTCACAATTCCTCAGCCTCCACTGCATCTGCTCCCAGAATGAGGCATTCTATTCTAGGACATCCCAGACTTCCTCCTACTTTAGAGACCATAGTTTCTCCTCCTCTATTATTAAGGATGCCCTCAACTGCATCTCTCAAATTTCCCACACTTCTGCCCTCAAACCCCTTCCCCACCAACAATAAGGATAGAGTCCCCTTAGTCCTCACATACCACCCCACCAACATCCGAATCCAACACATCATCCTCTGACATTTCTGCCACCTACAATCAGAACCCATCACCAAAAAGATATTTCCCTCCCCATTCCTGTCGCTTTCCACCCTTCGTCAGCCCCTCCACCATAGCCGGTACCTTTCCCTGCAACTGCAGGAGGAGCAACACCTGCCCTTACACCTGCCCCTCACCTCCATCCAAGGCCCAAAACAATCCTTCCAAATCCAGCAGAGATTCACCTGCACTCATCTAACCTCATCTACTGTATCGGTTGCTCCTGATGTGGTCTCCTCTATATCCAGGAGACCAAACACAGACTTGGGGACAGTTGTAGAATATCTGTCCTCTGCATGCACTGACCAACCCGACCTTCTGGTTGCCATCCACTTTAACTCTCCTCACTCCCCTGCTGACGTGTCCATCCTTGGCCTCCTCCACTGTCGGAGTGAGGCCAAATGTAAACTGGAGGAAAAACATCTGACATTTCACCTTGGGAGCTTACAGCCCAATGGCCTGAATACTGAATTCACCAGCTTCAAAATCTCTCCTGTCCCAACCTGTGCATCTTCCGACTCACCTATCCACTCCACCCTTCCCGCTGACAAACCACAATAACCCCCTACCAGCGTCCACCGAACTCCATCTTAGCCACCCCCCCTCCCCCTCCCTAGTTCTGATGAAGGGTTTTGGCCCGAAACATTGACTTTCCTGCTCATTGGATGCTGTCTGACCAGCTGTGCTTTTCCAGCTCCAAGTTTATTGATTCTGGCTTCCAACATGTGCAGCCCTTACTGTGTCCACAGACACAATGATCATTGTCCTGCCATTTCAAAAAATAAAATCCACAAAAATATCAGCATGTTACATTTTTCTTTCATCCACAAAATAGTCTAATGAGTTCCTCGTCATCATGCGTAACCAAGTGTACTGATCTCCTACTCTCCAGCATATCCCTGACTTTATGACGATCCTCCCTGGATAGTCATGGATCATCTCACCCAGCTGAGGCCCAATGTTTTGAGTTGAATCCTACCTGCACTGCAGCTTGTATGAGTCACCGTATTGCTGTTGAGTTCTGGACTTTTTGCCAGACCTACTTCAGCGTCGCTGCAGCTTCAGATTCTGTCTTCACTTCCATTCATTGCTGGTCCTGGTTGTATGTGAGGCTTGGGTTTTGTCACTCACATCGTTCTTGTCTTCTCCTCACTCCTGAAACATGCACCAGAATTCAATGCATACTCCCTTCTATCTCAGTTTCAAAAGGAGACGCAATAGATTTTACAGAAAGCGTTGTTAGTCGAAAGAACTAATTCATGCACTTAAAGTGCAAACACGTTATTTAAAACTTGCACCAGTTTAATGGAATTTTGCTGTAGTAATCATTTTAAAGCAATGAAAACCATCTCCAAAATAACCGAACTTCTCAGACATACGAGTCAAATATTACATGCCAACGTTTTTAGAAAAACAAGGTCTAGGGAAATGAAATACAAAAAAAAATTTCCGTGGTGCTTTCAAATTATGTTTACATTTTTAATCCTTAAACAAAGCCTTATGTTGTAACTATGGATACTGTAATCATAATAGGGGCCATTTGTAACTGTCTGAAAGTCACAAGGGTGCAAAGTGTACGTTTGAACCAGAAAATGATAATGTATAATTTGAGTTTTATAACAGATTGAACCCAATATGTTTTGAAGCCAATCTTTTTAAGGCTCAATAAGCATGATAACTGAATCTTTGTAGGAAAGATCTGATAACTAGTGTGGCATAATAGACATGAATGATTCCTACATACCTGCCTCAATTTAAATTGTAAGGTAATGTGGAAGCTGGCAACTACAGCAGAGCTCTACAGTCTGAAGACAGAAAGAAGACCTCTAATGAGGCATGTCTTAACTGGAGGAAATTACAGGGTAAAGCTTATTAAGCAGTCAAAGGAAGTGTTACTTAACAACGATTGCGGATGAGGGATCAGAGACGGTAACAATGAAGGATGTGATTAAAAAGATGATTTAAAAAAAGCAATAAATCATTAATACCAGATATCAGAAACTGGGGTAAAGGTATCCAGATCAGATATTAGATAAGCTTGAAAGTGAGAAAGATCCAGAGCAATTAGAAAAGGGAGAATGAGAAAAGGGAAGATCAAATCTGATAGTTAGAAATAAATGGAAGTTAAATTTGCCGGGAAAGGTAGAGTTACCGAAAGCAGGATGTAATTGAGTTACACAAGACCAGTGAGATCCCAGGGTTGATCAGTAGCTTGCACTGGCTGGCCTCAACCAGAGCAGAGGATATGCAAAAGCTGGCTTCACTACCTTGGTTCAGCAGGGGGAAGCTCCAAATAAAAAACTTCAATGCTGCTTGCTGCTTATTGACTTAGCAAGAGCTGGGTGGGGACAGGATCTGCTTCGGCTGTGATGCCCCTATAGTCAAATAGTCTCGAATCGTCTAAATGAGGTCCTGGCAAGCAGCTGGCTTGCGTGGAAAGATATCCCGACATACATTAATGCCTTCAGAGAGTTGGATGTAAAATGTCAAAATGTCCCATGCTTCAAAAATATTTCATAGTCAAGCACTTCGACACATTCACTGATAGTGAAAGGTGCTATACAAATGCCTTTTGTGTAAAAAATGCTTTTTAAAAAAATGTATGGATATAGTTATAAGGTGAGTTTATTCAGAGCTATATCTGTAAGAGTTTCCGAGAACTCCCAGGACTAGACCTAATGTGACTATTTGAGTAATGAAGTCAAATGCTGAACTTGCACATTCCTTGGATTTGACACTGCATTGTGTTAACAACAGTCAAACCTTGTTTTTAAAAAAAACAGAAGTTGCTGGAAAAGCTCAGCAGGTCTGGCAGCATTTGTTAAGAAAATGTCAGAGTTAACATTTCGGGTCCAGTGACCCTGACCAAAACGTTAACTCTGATTTTTCTTCTTCACCGATACTGCCAGACCCGCTGAGCTTTTCCAGAAAGTTCTGTTTTTGTTCCTGATTTACAGCATCCGCAGCTCTTCTGGTTTTTATCTGGTTAAAAATGTACTTGGTAAATCTCTTGAACCCTTTGGGCACTTTTCAGACTTATCCCAGAGTTGACATCAAAGTTCAGAAAGTGCTGATGCTCCCAATCTCTAAACATTTACTTTTGAACCATCAGGAAGAGTGCTTTGTGCAAAGCTGTAGTAATGCATGCATGTACATGTGCTGCAGACAAAAACAAGGTTCTAACCTGGTGGACTGAGAATGCAGCTGTGAGTATCAGTCCAGTAGATGGGAGGTAAATTCAGCCACTGAAAAGGCCCAGCCTTTTGAAGGCTGACATTCAGCTAAGTCCAATTGAATGGTCACTGATCATTCAATATGACCATACTGAGTGAGATATTGTGGTTCTGTTCCAAACCAAGCACCTTTTTTAAAGGTAATTATTAGAATCATAGAATCCCTACAGTGTGGAAATAGGCCATTTGGCCCAATAAGTCCACACGCCCCTCCGAAGATCATCCCACTTGGACCCATTCCCCTACCCTTATCCCTCTAACCCTGCATTTCCCATGGCTAATCCACCTAATTTACACACCGCTGGACACTACGGGGCAATTTAGCATGGCCAATCCACCTAACTTGCACATCTTTGGACTGTGGAAGGAAACCGGAGCACCCGGAGGAAACCCACGCAGACACAGGGAGAATGGGCAAACTCCACACAGACAGTCACCCGAGGCTGGAATCGAACCCGGGTCCCTGGCGCTGTGAGGCAGCAGTGCTAAACACTGAGCCACTTTGCTGCTCATTACTTGAGGTTTTTTTATAGTAAAACAATGCTCAACTATATTTCTAATTAATTCAAATTAATGAAGCTTCTGTTGCGCTACTTCGGATCCTATGAGCTAGTGTGAATATCACCTTGGAGATACAGAGCATCTATGATAAATGAACTGGATGCAACAGGACTGTGCAGCTGGAAAACTTTATAAACAGAGAGTTATTAATAGCTTGTTGTTTTTTTCTTACAATGTTACCTTTTCCTGAACAGAAATAGAGATACGCAGAACTAGGTTGTGTGAACGAAATCTGAATGCTTTTCTGATGGCTGATTAATTATACAGTGTCACATACCTCAGCATGACATTGTCATTAAAGCTATGTGCTGTAGATTTAAAGGGGCACCAGCACCTGGAAATGCAGTACTGGGAAAAATGTCAGAATTTTTACATGCAAAGAAATTGCTTAATCAACGATGTCCAACATGATCATGTGCTACTGGTGTGGCAAGATAGCATTGCCTTATTTCTAAAAATAACATTGCTTTAAAGATCACAGTGATGCTGCACTCTGCTCCTGTTCTCAGTACTCCTGAACAGGTCAAGCATTGAAAGTTCAGGTTCTTCTGATGACTGAACTTCTCCAACCATGAAATGTACACCACATTCCCGTCACTCACCCATCTGCAGCCATTGGCACTCAGAACTTATGCCTGACATCCAAATGCTCCACCTTACCCTCACAAACTTATTAATGTTATCAGCTTCAAACCCATCTCCCACTTCCCTCATATCTGCAGCTATTCTGGACACATCACAAAAATGAAACAAAGAACTGCGAATGCTAAAGATCTGAAACAAAAACAGAAATTGCTAGAGAAACTCAGCAGGTCTGGCAGGTCTCTGATAAAAGGTCACTGGACTTGAAATGTTAACTGTATGTTCTCAACATCACACAAAAACACTCTACACAATCACTGAGATTCTGCTGTCCCTCTGTCTCTTGGATGACAGGGTGGCACACAATAGAAGAGAGCAGGGGACAACTGGTGGAGGACAAGGATACCAGCAGCATCTTCATACGACTAAACTACTTAAAAGAAATAGGCCATTCAGCCCATCAAGTCTTCTCTGCCATTCAATGAGATTATGGCTGATTTGATAATCCTCAACCGATTCCCTTACTGATTGAAAATGTCTATCTCAGCCTTGAATATACTTAATGATCGAGCTTCAACCTCTCTCTCAGCACTGAGAAGTCCATTGATTCACTACCCTCTGAGAGAAGAAATTCCTTCTCATCTCTGTTTTAAATATGCTACCCCTTGTTCTGAGATTATGCCCCCTGGCTTGAGCATCTCATGAACTTGACAGAGGGATGGGTCTCTGCAACTTGGAAATAGCAGCAATAAACATTTAGCATCCAACATTGCTGAGAGCATTGAGGATGATGTATAATCCAGTTTTATGTCTTTTGCAGCTCCAGGCTCACCCTAATCCTACTACTGGTGCAATGAGAAAGCTGCTGATGGAGCAATCATGAACCTTGTACTTCTCACCTCACTCTTTTTTTACCCTCACCTTCCCCTTCTTAGCTTCTGCTTTCAGATGCCCAAGAATAGGTGTCTGTCCAGTCACAGTAGTGCCAAAAGGAGCAAAGAAAGCAGCAAAACAGAACCAACGATATGACCCCAATGACTTGATCTAACACTCATTGTTACTAGTTCAGTTATAGGCAGTGCGTGCATTTTGGCAGTTTGGATAGAGATTGGATCAGTATTTGGTGAGGGTCCAGCCAGGCCAGGGGTAAAGTCTGACTCCAAATTGGCAAACAAACGGTACTAATCAAAACTGAAAGAATTGCGGAAGCTGTAAATCAGGAACAAGAACAGAACTTGCTGGAAAAGCTCAGCGGGGTCTGGCAGCACCTGTGAAGAAAACAATCAGAGTTAATGTTTTGGGTCTGGTGACCCTTCCTCGGAACTGATGACCTTTAGGGGAGGAAGCTGCTGTTCTTGCCTGGTCTGGCCTATATGTGGCTCTAGACAAAAATGATGTGGTTGATTCTTAACTGCCCCCTGGGCAATTACACCTGGGCAATAAATGCTGCCTGGTCAGTGACACCCTCATGAATGAAGAAAGAAAAATAACATATGGCATGGAACAGAACTTGCCCTCTCTGTAGTCTAGGCTCCATAACCCTATCATCTTGCAAACCCTGTTGTATCCAAACATAGGCTACATTACCCAAAATTGAACCCATTCATGTGACACCTACCAATTCCGGAACTCAACTTAAGTCTTCCAAAATTACTCCAGAGCACTCCCACATATTTTGTTGAAGAAAAAAGAAGCTTCACATCCAGTTAGAACACTGTTTTTTGAAATAATACAACTGAGAGAAAACTTTGCAGCTTCAGGCTTTTTTTCTTGAATGTATAATGAACTCAACATCCTGCACATTCATTATGAAAATTGCAAGACCTTTGTTTGTGAACCACATTTGCATCCTTTAAGTCTAAGTAGCAGCAGTGAGATAAATGACAAGAATCTAGTCAAACAATAATTGCCACTGCTTTCAGTGAGGGTAGACGATCAGAATTAGCTTCTAACTATTATTGATGCCAGATCATGGCCAAAAAGCACAGGAAAGTATGGACCACAAGCCAATGCAATGATGCAAATCTTTAGGAAAATATGTACATCCTATATTCTTTAAATGGTGAAACTTTTCAGTTGGACCTATTTCTTGTCTATTTTATAGGAACCTAGAGGCAGCATCGATCATACGCCATTTGATGCACCAGAGTCCCATGCTGCTGAACAGCTGCAAGAATTGCCTTTCACCCCAATGCAGGCACCAATCCTAACCTTGATAACTGAGTCTGAACGGTAAGAATCCAATTTGTGTTGAAGTCAGTCTGAATCTTTACAGGATTAAACTCTAGAGTAAGCTATGTAGCTTGGGAACTATTTCACTACGTTATGGCATGGGCTGGCTAGTGTAGAGGTTTTTTTTAAAGCCACAAGGGTCTATTAGGTCTTCTGAAATGACTCCCAATCAGTGTTGCAGTTGATCTAAAGTCAGTTAATTGTTGTAAATAGGTGCTGTGCTGATATTTATTGAGAAAGCGATTGAATGCTTTGAGGTCTTAACAAAAAACACTTCGTTTCTTTCATGGGAGATAAGGAATAAACAAGAAATGCTTGAGAAATATCCCTATTGAAAATATTGATGGAGTGAGCTTCTTTGTGCTCTTACATTTGATCAGGCTTTAAAGTCTTACAGAAGGATGGACATTTGGAAGAAAGATGGTTCACTCCACTTACTTAGTAATTCTTGATTCAAATGAAAACTGGTTCTCAGCTACAAAAGTCGGTCAAACAAATGATTGAAAAATAGAGTTTGGTTTTATGCTAATGACTGCGGAAGATCTGCATTACCTTGTCCAGCTGCATAGATGTTAGATAGATATTGTTTGCCAAAATGATGTGTTGACTAAGATCATTTGAGTCAGACTTAATGCAGAGATAGGCATATCAGTATAATAGTTCACTTTGTTTGGAAAATGAAATAAAATATGCCCAGTGCTTTAAATTATTTTCTGTCTAGCTCTCTTGAGGAAGGACCAGAGATAAAACATTAACATTTCCTTTTCAGTCAACCACAACTCTTCAATTGCTTTGAAAAATGTTATATCTTTGTAGATACTTCCTTAATTGACACAATGGCGTCACATTCCAAAACCAATCAATATCTTTAAATGTTTTGCTGTATATTTCCTGGCTTTGCAACTTGGTAAAATTAATTCAAATCAATTTCATCTGACCCAAAAGTTCTAGTACACTGTGAACAAGTCACAAGGGAAATAATCAGTTCCTGCAGTTAAATGTTTTGTTCAAAGCTCAATTTTTCAGAATTTCTTAGTGGATCTCAGAGAGAATGGTAATCTGTGTGAAAACAATGTACTGTCAACGTCTCCTAGCAAGCTCCTTGCAACCTAATTATAGTGTAATGTAGAGATAACAAGGTATAGAGCTGGATGAACACAGCAGGCCAAGCAGCATCAGAGGAGCAGGAAGGCTGACGTTTCGGGCCTAGACCCTTCTTCAGAAATGGGGGAGGGGAAGGGGGTTCTGAAATAAATAGGGAGAGAGGGGGAGGCGGATAGAAGATGGATAGAGGAGAGATTACGAGAGAGTTGCAGTGGGAGAGAGATCCACTGAGTTTTTTCCGGAGGGAGGAAGGTAACTTCTTCAGGGTAGGCATCCTTAGAGGCTTCGCAGTGGGGTTAAAATTGTTTCAGAGATGGTAGGAACTGCAGATGCTGGAGAATCTGAGATAACAAGATGTAAAGCTGGATGAACACAGCAGTGTAATAGTGTAATGTAAATCAGTGCTCACCTCTGCATTCAATGAAAAGATGAAATTAAGGGTTACCAAAGTATTAGGTACACCTACAATGCTGAAACCTGTAAGGTGGAAATATTTGGAGGTAAAGATGCAAACGTTTGTGCCAGTTTTTTAATGGAATATTTTAGAGTGCATTAATTTCAGCAAATCACTTTTTCTAAAATAGTAAAATGGTGAAACTAAGAATTTTGAGGTCATTTTTAAAGAAACTATTAACAGGTATATAAAATAAGCGATCTTAAAATTTGTCTTGAATGTGAGAATGAGTGACCTAGCAGCAGTGTACTTGCATTAGAGAATCTTAGCTAATTAAAACACTGAAATGTCAGTTCATGCTTTAATTAGCCTGGGATTTAACACTGAATCTTATGGATGCCCCATGATAGCTGATTACAACATTTATTCTTCATGAAGAGACAGCAATAGAGATTTTTTTCTGCTCATTCTGTATACATGAGACAGAAGTAGGATACTTTTTTGTTCAGTGCAGAAGTCAGATTGGTTATTCAATGAAATTTTAGACATATCATATGATCTCACTCATTACTGATTTAAAAAAAACCTCATTGTTCCATTGTTCACTCTTACATGGCCATATATTAAAAACAAAGCCTAAAATATCCATTTCCCATTTTATTACCTTTGCCCTTTGCTTGGAAATATGTTGTCATGTACTTTTGGTGTTGGGTGTCTACTGTGCAGCGTACCATATAATGAGAGGCTGGAAGTGAGTGGGCTGCGTGCTGTGACTCGGCTTGACCCTGGGTTTGCCTTGGGCAGCAGCAGTGTTAATGAATTTGTGCTGCTGCATTTTCATCCTCCTATCTGTCTGAATGATTCCATTCGAGGTAGTTTCTGTGCTAAGGCTCTACACATTATGTCTGTCTGGTCTGACTGGTATTTAGGGCATTGCCAGACTGATGATCAATGAAGCATTCTTGAGAAGGAACAGTGTCTAATACAGGACTGGTCAGCTGAAAAGGGCCAATTGAAGATTGGTGTTGGGTTGACCAATTGTTACTTGATTGAAGTGAGACACAACATGAACAGTGATGTCTATTTTTATTCTTTTAATAGTATTTTATAGCGTTGTGAATCAAACATAATTTTTGTGATTTGCTTATTAAGAATAACCACAATCTAATATTTTGGGGGGCTGTGGAAATAAAGACATTGTTGACTTTAGAAGAAAGAAGATGGTGATTCCATCAAGGAGAGAAGTGTTTTACAATCAGTGGAATGAATTCTCAAGGTATTGAGAGGAAATGTGTATTTCATTTCCTAGGTAATACGTCAGGAATGACTAAACCCATCATTAAGCAGGTCTGTAGAGATGGTAACAATGACTTCTATCTGCAGAGTACATGGAACAAATAGAGAAAAAAATATTTTGTGGCCAGCAATGCCTTCATCCCATGAATGAAAGCAAGAAAAAAAGTTTCTCAATCTGGGATATAAGGGTATAATTTTAGTTTGTGCAATCTTAGTCGCATAGTTGGCAGGTTATGGATCCAAATTCCATTTTATAACTTGACCACATAAACATAGACTGACAGTTTGTTTCAGTGCTAAGGGAGTGCTGACGTACAGGTGAATTGTGAAGCCAAGGGCTCTCCTTCCTGTTCCATTGCATGTTAAAAATACAGCAATGTTTGTCAGAGCTCTGTTGATAGGCAACAATTATTCCTTAACTTAGCTCATCAAATAGAACCAGCTTACATATCTAACAGCCCCACTATCAGCAATCAAGCATCCAGCCTAAAAAAATGCTAAACAGAAGCTGCAGCATGCTTTTAGGAAAAATGCAGCATTACAAATGGACTACAAAGCTTTTGTATTGAGCTGAGTGTCATGATCTGTGTTTTTGCAATGTGCTGAAGACTGTGTACAGCCCATCACCACAACCTTTCCTGCTGTCCTCACAGCTGATGGAAATGATAAACATGTGTTATAGAAGGGCACCTTGTCATGCTTTTCAACAGAGACTCCCACACTTGAGAAGGCTGTGCTTGCAATTGAGCAATTGCGTGAGAGAGAGAGAGCCTGTCTCTTCCCCCTTTACATAGGAGCATAAGAAGTAGCACAGGAGGCAGTCATTAAGCCCATCAAGTTGCTTGACTATTCAACTAGATCATGACTAATCTCTATTTCAGTGCTATTTTCCCACAGTATCCCCATGGCCCTTGATGTCACTTTCTAAAAATTTGTCAAACTCGGTGTTGAATATACTCAATGATAGGGTGCTACAGTACCCTGGGGTAGAGAATTCTAAAGATTCAGCATCCTCAGAGTGAAGATATTTCTCCTCATCTAAATCCTAATCAGCATGTCTTTTCTTCTAAGTCTGCATCCCCTTGGTCTAGTTTCCTCAGCCATGGAAACACCCTTCTTGGATCCACCCTTTTGAGACATAAGAACATAAGAAATAGGACTAGGAATAGGCCTTTAAGGCCCTCAGGTCTGCCCCATCATTCTAGAAAGTCATGCCCAATCTGTGGAGGCCTCAACTCATCTTCCATGCCAGATTCTTATAGCCTGCAACTCCTTGATATTTCAAAAATCTATCTATCTCTTCCTTAAATACTTTCAGTGATCTAGTCTCCAAGCCTCTCTGGTAGAGAATTCCAGACATTCACTACACTTAACTCCACATGTAGCGTAGCTAACTCACCTAGCCTGTACATCCCTGGGCACTGTGGACAATCTGCCAGGCCAGTACACCTAACACGTCTTTGGAGTGTGGAAGGAAACGGGAGAACCCGGAGGAAACCCATGCAGGCACAGAGAGAATGTGCAAACTCCAAACAGACAGTCGCCCGAGGCTGGAATCGAACCTGGCTCTGTGGTGCTGTGAGGCAGCAGTACTAATCACTGAGCCACCATGCCATATGTAACGATATCCTCTAGTTCAGATGCTCCCACTGGTGGAAACGTCTTCTCAATGTCTACCCTGTCAGAATCTTGTGTTAGCGTATAATCACTTTTCTTTCTTCTGATATCTAATGAATAAAGGGCCAACCTGTTTAGCTATTCTTAATAAATCATCTCCATCAAAACAGGAATCGGCATTAAAAAAAACTTTTTTTGAGCTGCATCCAATGGCAATCCGTTCTTAAATATAGGGATCAAAACTGTATGTAGTATTCCAGGTGCAGCTTCAGTGTTGCATTGTGCACCTTAAACTCCAGTCTCCTAGAAATGAAGGCCAGTAGTCTATTTGCTGCCTTATTATTGCTGTACCTGTGTGCTCACATTTTGTGTTTCATGCTCAAGGACACAGATCCCTCTGTTATGTGCTTTTTTGGAGTCTCGCTCTGTTTAAAGTTTAGACTGCCTTTTGTTTCTTTGTGGATAAGTGCATGACATCACACTTTCCTCCATTAAACACCGTCCACTACGTTTTTACTCAGTTACTCATGCAACTTGTATTTATTCCCTTGAAGATTCCTTATGTCCTCATCACAGCATGCCCTCCCAC